GTGGGATCAGAAAATGACTCCTGTAGCAGGGGGTAGCTCAGGTAAGCCTGGAAGAGAAAGAAGGATTCTAAGATTCAGAAAGAGGAGGGAGTTCATATTAGGCATGGAAGGTTGGAGGGTGGGAAGCAGTCACCTGTGCAAAGGCAGCCGGGCTGGAGACAGACTATTCTGTGTGGGAAAAGAGGAAGACCATTTAATATACATGAGAGCTGGTGGTAGTGGTATTGGTAAGAATAACAACAATCACAGCACAACAATGACATATGCATTTTAATTGTGCTTTAATGTTTGTGGGGCACTTCATTAATTTAATCGTTCCTGATGGCAACCTTGTGAGGTATCGATAAGTATCTTCATCTTACAGATATGGAAACTGAGGTTCATGAGGTGAACTGTCTTGCCTTGGACCAGAAGACCAGTAAGTGTCCAGAGACACATTTTTGTACCAAAACCCTTTTGACTCCAAGTTCCCCATTTTCTGGTTTCTCTCTTTTTTTCAAAAATTTGTTTTTATTATAAAATTTGTAACATACATAAAAACCTTAAAAATAAAAGTCAAACCTTAACCAGTTATAAATATTTCTTTCCTTTATAGATTTAGATGTGCATACTGAATTTGTCTTACTTTAACTTTTCCCTAAAGACAACATTGCTATATGTGTCATTCAGAACTTAGTTTTATTAACACCACGTGTTTTTACATTGCCCAAATTTCTCCTGGGGCAGCTAGATAGCACAGTGTACCGCATGCCCATCCTGGAGTCAGGAAGACTTGTCTTTGTCAGTCCAAATCTGCCCTCAGACACTTACTAGCTATGTGAACATGGGCAAGTCATTTAACTCTGTTTGCCTCAGTTTCCACATCAGTAAAATAAATTGGAGTAGGAAAATGACAATCCACTCCAGTGTCTTTGCCAAGAAAACCCCAAATGGGGTCACGAAGCATTGGACACCACTGAAAATGATTGAACAACAATAATGGAAATTTCTCCCAGTATCCTCTTCATGTCATGCTCTGAGAAAAGATAAGAAACTCAACTAATTCCACTTAATCAAATCAGCCAATCAGCTGACACTACTTAATGAATGAAGAACTAATGAAATCCTACGTCCTGATATCTAGTCTCCACCTAATCTATGATGCCCTGTAGTGACTTCTCCTTGTTGCTTAACTACAGTACTCCATCCCCTGACGAAGGGCATGTTTAATTGACTGTCCCCAGTGCATATCATTCTCTTTCTCCTCATCTCTGACTCCTGGCTTTCCTCAAGTCCTGGTTACCAAAAGCCTTTCCTGACTGTTCTCTCTCCCTTTAACTCTAATTCTTTCCCTTCAAGATCATCTCCCATTTACCCTGTGGATATCTGCCTTTTACATAATGGTTTGCATGTTGTCTCCCCTATTAGACTATGAGCTCCCTGACAGCATGCACAGTCGTTTGCCTTTTTTTGTATCCCTAGCACTTAGCACAGTGCCTGGCACATTAGGAACTTAAATGTTTACTGATTAACTAAAACTGAATTAAGACTGATTATCTGGCAATAAGAATCACACTTGCAGGGACTTGTGAGCTACAGCATTAAAAAAAAAAAAACCTCCCCCATCCAACAGACTCTCCTTGGACGCTGGTGGGGAGAATTAGCCACCAGCTTCTGAGGCTCCAGTTTTCTTCCAGTGGAAATGGGAGTTGGGATATTGGCTCTACAACCTACATTAAGCCATGCTGCCGTTCTCTTTTTTTACCATTATCAAGTCTCTGTGGTTGAAAGGTCAGCTTTTAATAGGTAAGAGAGTACCACCAAAAGCTCCAAAATCAATAACAGGAAAGTTCTGACTATTTTATTATCAATATTTAAACCATTTTTAAACAAATATTGAAATAAATATCTACATGTAAAATTTAGTTCAGACAACTTGTTGCATGGCATGTTTAAATAGAATCCTTAATTTTTTTTTAGTCATACCCCTATCAAAAAGACAAGTTTCTTGAATGTTGATTTAATTTAATATGAGATGGTCAGAAGATTTCTGTATATTAACACTAGGCAATTTATTGGAGTTAGTTTGAAAATCATTTCAGGCTTCATGAACCACCGGAAACATACTAATACATTATGAGGGTAGGGAGTTGGCACAGTGAATAAAAGGAGAAAATACACAGATCATCTCCTCTCCTTAAAATATCTCATTTCCATGCCCCCAAGATAAAATTTAAAAAATAATAAAGAGAGATAAAGGTGGGACAATAATTCTGTTTTGAAAAAGTCTGACTTACTGTAGAATTTTCTTTTGAAAGAATGGATTTACAAATCAATAAACCAACACAAAAATATAAGTTGCTGCCCTATTAAAGTGATTGAAACTTCACGCTTATAATATCTTTCATAGTTTACTGCAACTAATCAATGTTCTACATTGGGAAAGCTGGTTTTCGGCTAATCTGTTGGAGCAGGGCCAGGTACCATGGAGAATTGGAGCTCCTCAGAAATGCTTCGTATGTCGGACACTTTTGTCATAAGCCATGTCTAAGCAATTTTAAGACACGCTATGATTTTGATGAAAATAAATTCATTCCATTGGAAAATGCATATTATCTAAGGAACCCGAGGTACCTGTGAACTTTATCATCATGTGCATTTATAATATCAAACAATATCTCTCCACTCTCTCATGCAGTGCTTTTGCCTATCATTCCCTAGGTTTGTACCACACCAAAGTTGTTTTTGTTTGTTTTGTGGGTGAAGACATACACACACACACACACACACACACACACACACACACACACATGTATTCACATATGTTTTATGTATACACATATAGCTATTATGTAGCTGGTGATTTTTAGCAGTGTAGCAGAGTACCCCATGAGGATAATCCACTCAGCAATGAAGATTAGCAATTCATCTGTACATTGCAGAGAGAGATGAGGCGTGGCTCCCAGAGAGTTTAAGAAGCTTGTCCAGGTCATACACTTGTACATCAAAAGCAGGATGCAAACCCAGGTTCTTCTTGACTGGGACTGGGATTTGCCTCATTTGCCCAGTACATAGTAAGGCCTTCAGGGATATTGGCTGCATTTTATTAAATTGGACAGAATGACTGAAGGATGAATAGAAGGAATGTTTTTCATGGGACAGCACATTCGTCTTTGATCTATATACCCTGCGTTAATACAGTTTATATCTTTTACTGAAGATTTGTGTTTATTGGCTTATATGCAGAAAGAAGAAGTTTTGAATTTCAAACAGTAGCAAGAGAGTGTAACCTGCTTGAGGTCAGGGACTATTTTGGTATTGCCTCTAGCCGTGCCTGAAGCACATCATTTAATCAGCAGGCATTTATTGAAAATGTCTATTATTGGCTAAGCATTTTGCAAGGCATGAATGATACAAAAGCAGAAAGATAACATTCTTGTCCTGAAGAAATAACATGATTACTGATGATTAAGTATGAATGTTTTTAAAAATGTATGCAGAGGGACAGCTAGGTGGCGCAGTGGATAGAGCACAGGCCCTGAAGTCAGGAGGACCTGAGTTCAAATCCAGCCTCAGCCCAAATATATGATGCTTACTACTGTGTGACTCTGGGCAAATCACTTAACCCCAATTGCCTAAAAAAAAAAAATTATGCAGAAGGCAAGGTGATGGTGTAGGGGAGACAGTAGCAACTCTGGGCTATCTCTATACTTGCTAATTCAGTCAACTAGCATTTATTTGATTTATTCACTTACTATAAGCTGGTCACTGTGATAAACACAGCAAATCCAAATATAAGTAGAAAGGCTCCACCCTCAAAGAGCTTACATTCAAATGAGAAAAAGACAATACAAAATCAATCCATCCATGAACATTTATCGTGTCTACCAGTTGCCAGGCTATCCTGTGCACTGCAGATACAGAAAGAAAGTCAGTCGGATTCAGAGGTATTTGGCATATTAAACTGAATTGAAAAGGATTACAGAGAGTGTAATTATGAATAAGGTAACCAATTTTGACAAAGTGAGGAAGCATTCTAATAATTAAGACTCTCCCCCTCTGAAATGGCCTGTTGCCTTATATAATAAGTTACCCATCAGAGCGGAGTTCAAAGGGTGAATCAACACCTCTTAAAGATTAGCTAGAGGGGATTCCTAAAGTGGGTGAGACATTGGATTAGATGCCTTCTGAAGTCTCTTTGCACTTTAAGAATCTAGCATTCAATTATTCTTAGGATTATAGTGAATAAAGCACAGAGGCTACTGGTATCCCTGGATCCTTCACCAAGAATTAGTAATGAAGCAAGGAGACCTGTTATCTGCAAGCTGTGTGGGGAAGTTTGCCTTAGCACTTTTTTTTTTTGCTCCAAGATTTTTTTTCTGTGTAGGGCATCTCTCTCCTCAAGGAGAATGTAACCAATCTCCGCCTTCTCATTGCACAGAATTCTTGTCTATCTCATTACATTAACCCCCCAGAGAGTATCCAAGCATTGCAATTTGATTTAACAAACCCTGACTCACCATCTACTAAGTCCCTAGTTGTGTGCTGTGGAGATAGAAGGATTTGTGGTTTCATTGAAGTTGGGGGAACACATATGGTAAGTCCCTCCACCAATGCTGTTTTGTTCCCTGTTTGGGAGTGAATGGATTAGACCAGGCAAAGTTGCCTGAGAGCCATATGACTTTATTTGCATGGGATCAAATAAGTACTCGTAAGGTCAAAAGGCACGATTTGAAGCCAAATCTCCTTCATTTGGAAATCACGACCAGATTACAAGTCCAGCGCTTCGCTTACTTTTTCATTAGCCTCCACAGGCCCTGAACAGTCAAAGATTAAAAAGAAAAGAAAAGAATACAAAACCAAATAAAAACAAAAAACAAACAAACAAAAAACTTTTGGTCTGATCAGGAAGACAACGTACCCTAACCAATGGGTCACACTCTTCAAAACAACAAATAATCTTTGCTTTTGCTGTTGCTGTTTTAAATATTTGAAAACAAGAGTAAAGTATTGCAACACACCTCGGTGCTGTGGGATGTTGCTTGTTCTGTCTGTGTTACGCGTCTGAAGTTGGCTGCTGTTGCTGCTGTGATTTTGGCTTCTCTCTCTCATCTTTGCCCTCTCATGTATGGAGATCATGAGGTCAACTCATGGGAGGATTCTCCTCTGTCACTTTCCCTCAGCTTCAGTCTTCCTGTTGCTTATATCAAGAGGAGGAGTGATGGTAACAAACAAGGTAGGAGTAAAGGTTCCTTCCCCCAGAGCCCAGCTTTGGAATCGGCTCGTGTAGGAACCATGGTGATGAGAGAACACAGCAGTGTTCTAAGTGCCTAAGCTAGTGTAAGCCATGTTAAGGAAGGATGTGCAAGAGATGGAAACTTGTAAAAACAAAAGTGTAAAACGTTTAATCTCATTCTGTGTATTTTTTGGGGGGAAACCTACCCTGCCAATCATATTTAAAATATGAAAAGTTACATATCTCCTCCTGGTTTCTACCTTTGGGAGCGATGAGCTACACACAAGGGCTCACCTCAATTTGAGAGAGAGAGAGAGAGAGAGAGAGAGAGAGAGAGAGAGAGAGAGAGAGAGAGGGGGGAGAGAGGGGGGGAGAGAGGGAGAGAGGAGAGGGGGAGAGGGGGGGGGGAGAGGGGGAGAGAGAAGGAGAGGGCGAGGGAGAGAGGGAGAGGAGAGAGGAGAGGGAGAGAGAGAGAGGAGAGGAAGAGAGGGAGAGGGAGAGAGAGAGAGGGGGAGAGAGAGGGGAGGGAGAGGGAGAGAGAAGGAGAGGGAGAGGAGGGGGAGAGGGAGAGAGGGAGAGGGGGAGAGAGAGAGAATATTTTTTGGAATGAAAACCCCCTCTCTAGCTGGCAGGTGGGATTGCTTTTGTATGTTTCCATGTGCGTGGGCATGTGTAAAATCAGAAAAATCCAGTGCACTTAATTATATTAATAAGATGAGTGCTACCTACGCAAGGCATGTATGTTTATGCGGGTTGATTAAATGTGGCTTTATGGGAACCATTGATTGATATAATCTGAAGTCTGTGCCACTGCTAAGAAGAGGAGGACAGAACACTAAGAGGGAGAAGAGGCAAGCTTCTCCCAGGAGCACTACATGGATGAGTGTACAAAACTCCAGGAAGGTTACTGGACAAGAATTATGTTGATTTGTTCCTGTAAATATCACTTCTTTATGGACAAAATGCATTCAATATGAAAAGTCTGCTGCCCTGGTCTCTTTCCCTTAAAACAGGAGGGTTGCCCTCTCCTTGCACCTGATGGCTTAACCTCTTCCCACCAAGTGCAGGTTATACAGAAGACTATCTCAGCAAGTTAGCCCATTTATTCATGTGAAACAGCAAAGGAAAAAAAAATGAAACATTTAAATAGGTTAGAATATACAGAAAGTGCAAAGAACAAATGAACACTTTAGATAGCAGCTACTTGAGACTTCAGGTCAACCATTATAGAGGCCTAGATTTCAAGCAAGGAGAAATTCCTTGAAGTCTTTGAGGAAGCCAGTTAAAAAATCAGGACAAGCTGAGAAGCCAGCTTCCCCTATATGCCTGAGGCTGTCAATTTTTTCTCTATCTCCCTTCACATATGTGAAGTTGATCCCAAAAAAGAGTCTAGAACTATGCATCTCATCTGCTCCTCTGCTCTTGCCCCTTGCTCTCACCAACAGCTCACAGAGCTCTGCATCTTACGCACTTTGTCAAGCACAGCATTCTGCCCAACAACCCCAGGTTATACAAATGCAACATGCCAAACATTCAGACGCAGCTAGCAAACATCCGAAATCTGTCACCATATTTATAGCCTCCTAGTAGAAGCCAGGCTCCCTGAGAGTAGGGATCATTTCATTCTTTGGATCTCTTGAATTTCTCACAGTACTTAGGTGATTAATAACTTCTCATTGTTTGACTGATTTTAAAGAATGTAACAAAATATTTTGTGTTGAGTTTTTCAAATGAATTTGTGGTATGGCATAATGTTACGTATTATAATTATGTTAGTCCTACCTCGCTTCCTCCACCACACTCACACACAGACGTATCCACATCATACCGGGTTTCATAATACGTCCATACATGTGTGTGTGTGTGCATTGTGTGCCTGTGTATTTGTGTGTGTGTGTGTGTGTGTGTGTGTAATGAAAATCTTTGCCAATCTGGTGAAGATTATGATACATTTCTTTGGATTATACTTTTAAATGCATAAAATAAAATACACAAGATTACAAAGAAAAGCAATAATATTGAAATATAGTTATCTCTCTATAACTCTGCATGTATCCATCTGTCTATATCTTGGATCTATCTGCCTATCTCTCTCTAAAGAGAGATATTAATAGATCTCTATTGTCATCTTTTTTTATAGTGATATCTATATCTTTATCTCTAAATATAGGCATAGCTATAGATGCAGTTGTAGATGTAGATAGATACAGATACAGAAGATAGAAACATCCAATTCCCAGACACCGGATGCCCACCTGGATGCACTGGATTCTAAGCTCCTAAAAGAACATTTCTTTATCCACAGCAAGCACTACATCAATGCATTCTTTCAATGGAGCTATATTTGATGTCTCAAGGATACTGTATGCGATATATTTTAATGCTCTTTTCTACGTTACTATATTTTTCCCAGTTCTCCTTCCTTCCCTTGCCCTTTGAGCTATACTGATATGTAGTAATCTTCTATAACAAGACTGAATATTTGCCATATTTTCTTCCTGGAAAGAGAACAGCTACTTCTCTGCAAGTTTCATGGATGTTTCTCCCGGGCCAATATCTTGGTATAGAAAAGATATATTGGTTGTCTTCACTCAGTGATTTCTTAATATGTTGACAGAAAGGTTCTTTTCTATTGTGAGATCACGTACTGCCAACTTCTATTTAAGCAGAATGTTACCTTGATGGCCTTCCACACCTCTTGAAAAAACAAAGTCTTCATTTCCTGAGCACACAACAGTGTTACAACCCCCTTCCCCTCCCCCTACCAATATCTACCAAGCCCCATCTCAGACAAAACTCATTTAAAAAGTTGATGGTAATGGCCATCTGGCAAATATGAGGTAAATCATTTACAAATTCCTAAATGTGCTTTCCTAGGGTCCTCATTGTAAGGTAGGACCTCAGTTGAGGAACCCATCCATGAGCTCCGGGCAAGTGTATTGACCCAGAGAGGAATGATGAGGTCCTCTTTGATAGCCATTCCTACTTCCATCAATTGATTTGATGCTGGAATGCTCTTAAACAATCAAGAAAGGTTCTTGTTTTTTATAATATATTAAGGTCCACAGAATTCCTCCTTCAGAATAATTCTGTGAGGCATGCGGTATAAGTCTGCTTATTTAGTAGAATATAAGTTCCTTGAGGGTTTGAGGCTTTAATTTTTGGATTTATATCCATAGGACTTGGCATGGTTCATGGTGCATGATAGCTGTTTAATGCTTATTGATATAAATCCAGATTTCCAAATGAAGAAGCTTAGATTGAGGATCAAGTGACTTTCCCAAGGGCAGACTCTAACAAGGCATCTGAAGATAACATGGATTTATATTAGAAGGGATTTTAAAGGTAATATAGTCCATTTCTGTTATTTTATAGATCAGGGACTGGGATTCTGAGAGCTGAAGTACCTTTCCCTTGTCAGGCAAGTAGGAATTGATAGAATTTAAATTTGAACCTTGATCTGCTATCTGCGAACCAGATTTCCATCTGTTTCCTCTTGTTGCTTCCCAGAGCAAGAATCTGTGTTCAAGTCTCTGCACTCAAAATTTCCTATTCTTGTAAATGTGTTGTGTGGTCTCTAAAGAATGTGCTTTTCTAGCTTTGGGGAAAGGGGAAAAAAAGTTACCCTTGACATATGCAGAAAATAGTGAATTTATTGAATTTACGAAGACTATACAGTAGTCTTATAACTCGAGTAAGCTGACATCAGATTGTACTCTCCCCTATATGGCATGTCCTCACGCTATGGGATTTTACTCTGACCAAATGATCTCAAACTTCTCCCTAAAAATGATGAATTCTCTTCTTTAATATGACTATTTTTCAGTTGGTGCTGTGAGGTTTCTGGTCATGGAACTCTGTGGTCTCGAAATTTAAACCTGATTGTCTTAAAGGGCATGGATGATGGGCATGGCTAAGAGTAAACTAACATTTTTTTTTAAAGAGCAAGCTGTAACACATTAGAGACAAAGAAAGGCACAGAAATGTAACCAAGGTTCTAAAGGCAGTACTTCCACATAGCAGAAGCGCTGGACTTCCAAGAAAGGAGATGCATGCTTTTCTTTGATATTTCCTTTTAAACTGCTTTGTGTGGAATAGTCTCTTCCCACCCTAATCTCCTTCTCTTGAAATGATTCCCTATGTTTAAGCTTAGATACCATTTTCTATCACTATCCCTAGCACCACCATTCAACCAAACACCACAACCAAGAAAAACAGCAACAAAAAACTATTGTTAGCATCCCTTCTAGCCCAGAGGGACGTCTTCTAAATTTCTTACCCCTCTGGGTGTCTCCCATACACTCACTTTATAATTGGTAGCACCAGCATTCAAGTACTCACCTCATTCTCTTACTGTATTGTAAACTCCTCAAAGGTAAGTACAATACCCTTTTTAAACTTCATCTTACCAACATCTGTCAGAGTAGAAATTCCCTCTTAATTGCTGCTTGGAAGGTACAATGTTATATTGTCAGACTTTGAAACATTTTAACTATCCCATCTCATTTTTATTCCTCACTATTTGGCACTGTTATAGTGTAACAAGGAAGGGTGATGACTTTATTTTTTTAGGCAATTGAGGTTAAGTGACTTGCCCAGGGTCACATAGCTAGTAAGTGTCAAGTACTTGATCTGAGGTCACATTTGAACTCAGGTCCTCCCGACTTCAGGGCCGGTGCTCTATCCACTATGCCACCTAGATGCCCCTAATGATGACTATTATTAAGGGCTATAGAAGTAGATAACTTTTATTAATGTTTCAGTCTATGATCTCATTTGATCCTTATTACAACCTTGTGAGGTACATATTATTATCTCCATTTTAGAAATGAAGAAATAGAGACAGAAAAAAAATATATAAGTGCCTTGCCTGTAGAGTCACACAGTGAATAAGAACTAGATATTATATTTGATTTCAGGTACTTTTATGATTGAAAGTCTAGCATTTTATTTACTACACAATGATGAAGGAAGGAGAGATGTTTAACCTGGATAATAACTGAGAAAGTGCATGAGAGCTGTCTCAAAGTGTATGAAGGACTCTATGTAGAAGAGAAATTATACTTGTTA